GGTAGTTGTTGACATCTGTTAAGAGGCGTTTGTTCTAGGTTAGTGTACCAGCTTTCCAAAGTCAGTCGTTGAAAATAGTTTGTACTGTAGGTTAACCACCAAGTAGAGTCCCAGTCAATGTTGTGGTTTGTCAGTTGATGATGTACAGCAATGTGCTTGTTGGCATCACAATTTCTCGTGGCTTGTTTGTGTTCAGTCAGTCGACAGATGTCAACAACTACCGGCGCCTTACAAACGACTTATCCATGCTCACCCGTTTGTTAAAAACATCCAACCGTTCGAACGGCTTGCTCACCCATTTAGTAAAAACATCCATCCGTTTGAACAACTTGCTCACCCGTTCGATAAAAACGTCCAACCGTTCGAATGACTTGCTCACCCGTTCGCTGGAACATCCATCCGTTCAAACGACTTGAGTAACTCATTGAACGGCTTTGATCATCCATTCAGGAAAAAAAATAACAAGGCATACGTGCGGTTGTCTCTACCTGTTTGCATACTCACGTGTTCATGTCACATACACGGAAAAAATCCCTTCGATCACTTGAACAGTCTGCTAGCAGATTACGCGACAATCACAAAATATCTCCAAATAATGAAGCTCATAAAGAAACAGNCACATACACGGAAAAAATCCCTTCGATCACTTGAACAGTCTGCTAGCAGATTACGCGACAATCACAAAATATCTCCAAATAATGAAGCTCATAAAGAAACAGTCTATGTAGAAAAATTGAACTACAGTGTAGTTAGCCTGGGATCCAACGGTTTTTGCTTCTAAATGCCGATTCAGAAGTGTTGTTTTCGTTTTCTTCTTCTTGCGTGATCTGTGAGCGAAGACAACTTTCGTTCAAAGCTTACACTGATCCGCTGCGTGTGTAAACAAATGAGAACTACGATGTTGTATATTTCCTTAAAAACTTCTTGCAAAGTTATTATTACAGGCGAAGAACTCTTGCAGAAAATATATTTTGCGTTTCTAAACATACAGTAATCAAGGAAACTTGAAAGTCGCTTATAAAAGCGAACTTTTTAAATTCTACCCTGTTTACAATGCGGTTTAATAAACATTACCGGTGTAACTATGGTTGTGATAAGCAGAGACACTGTAAATGATTTTCTGGACGAAATCACACGAGTCTGCCTTGCGCATTCCTCTTATTTCGAAGAGAATCCACTGAATGAAACCTTTAAGACGGCAGCATGCACTGAGCTTGAGTAGGTAAGATAACAATCGTGTTGTTGTAACGCCCTGAATTTGCATCAAGTTTCAAACATTACTGATGCGTGAAAACTGAGTCATGCTTTTGTCATGCATGCATACAGTCCTGTGCTTGTTTTTGTTGACTGAGAAGCTTGCTTATTTTAAAATTTGGGTTGCACTTTTCAGTAAATATGTTGTTTTTTTAACCTCTGCCACAAGGAACATTCCGGACAGAAAAAGCCATTTCAAACAAGCTCATTTCACGCGGGATTTCACGCCGCTACCACACCGCGGGTCTGGGACTCTGGGACACATCGTAATAATAACAAAATGAAAATGTAATGTTGCTAAACTGTTGTTGCCAAAGGCCTTATCTCTGTCTCAAGCTGTAAAGTTATTTTGAGACATTCTCGATTCACATGTTGCTTGCACTTGACCAAAGTCTTCCATCGTCAGTGATAAAATCTACCGAATGATATATCATGTTTATTTGTGAACGAAAACTCTTGCCAAGAATGACTTCAACAAGGTTTAGACTTTTTATGGAGAAGCCGCAAGAAGTTGCCTGCTTGCGGATGCAACAAGAAGTATCAAGTTTACTTTCTTTGGCTTTCAGTGGTGAAATAAAGTAGTAACAGGAGCACTTTCAATGATTAAAAGCCATCCGTTCGAAATTATTTTTAAGTGAAATGTGTAGCGGCACGGCACCATTCGAAATAACCAAACGAATTATAATCATCAAGTTTATAATCCGTTCGTGACTGCTCATTTGAAGATTTCATGAGCTGTTCAAACATTTAGATCACCTGTTTGAAATTCTTTTATGAGCTGTTCTAACGGTTCCGTTACCTGTTCGGAATGTTTTACGAGCCGTTCGAACAGTTAGGCTACCTGCTTTCAATTTTTCCTGAGCCGTTCGAATCGTTAGACTACCCGTTCGCAATTATTCCCGAGCCGTTCGAACGGTTAGGCTACCCGTTCGCAATTTTTCCCGAGCCATTTGAACGATTAGGTTACCCGTTCGCAATTTTTCCCGAGGCGTTCGAATGGTTAGGCTACCCGTTCGGAATTTTTCCCGAGCCGTTCAAACGGTTAGGCTACCCGTTCACAATTTTTCCTGAGCCATTCGAACGGCTAGGCTACCCGTTCGGAATACTTAATCACCCATTCAAACACTCATTGAACCCGTTTCAAAAGGCTTGGTGACCCGTTTGTAACCCGTTCGATGGCCGTTCGTTTCACCCGTGTAAAGGAAAGTTGTTAATGCACGTTTTTGCGTGAAAGGTCACATTTTGTGAGTATTTCTTATGGCTTTCGGTAAATGAGGTGAATTCTTTGGCTGTTTCATCACAGCGAGTTAAGAGATTTGAAGAAAAATTAAGTATTTGCGGAGGTAAACAACAGCTTGCCAGAACTTGCAACGTTTAAGTCTGTGCTAGGGGAAAAAACACAACCGTTCTAAAATTAGTCGTGGATAGCGTAAACCCTCTGATTGTGTGACTTGCCTGACTACCGTAATTTCCGGCCGTTTACCCGCTCGGTAGATTACCCGCATCGGTCATTTTTCACAATAAGAAGAAAAAAATTTCAACAGATTACCCGCACTGGCAGATAACCCACACCCACAAAAGAAATTCATGAACTCACAAAGTTGGAGTGGTGATAAGCCATTTTTTTTGTTAACAAAATATCCTTTAGCGTGTAATTAGTAAGTTTTCACGCCCATTGTTTTTGATCTTCCATTTAATGATACCACTTGTAAAAATCCATTCTAAAAAAAATCGATATCTCAGGATCTACTGACTCTAAGAAATTGCTTGAAATGGGAAAATACTCTCTAACTCAAGGCAGTGTTTGCTAGGAATATTTTACTGATGCGCCAAATATTCTGGTGTTTTAAAATGTTGTCTGTGAATGTTTGTTTACACGCGTGGCGACAATCACCTTTTATGTTGCATCATATTAATTATGCGGCA